ATTATGTTTGAAAAAATAAAACACACACTCAAACATTTGTGTGTAAACTAGCCTAAAGAGGTTGGATTTTTATTCCTGAAATGAGGGGTTTATTTCCCTATCATCAGTCACACCCAGAGAAAGATGGAGACCATTTTGGCCGGGTTAGCATGTAAACACAACACATTAGGATCAAACTTGTTTTCATCCTGTTTCGGCAAAATAATTGAGTAGTTTTGGCTTTAATATTTAAAGTCTAAAAGTATTTGTACTGGTTCAGTAGATGATGATGATTTAGATGACCAGTGATGTTTATCTAAGTGGGGTTACGGAACATTTTTAGGACAGAAAAAGCTTTCTAAAGCGAGTTTGAATTAAATGATACATCAAAGATACATGATAACAACAAATATTGATCAATTATGATTATTTCTTCCACTTTTTGGGATATTTTCTTTAATTAATCAAATGTTTAAAAGTTTGAAACTGAGAAAAAATCTCTCCTTTCTGGTCTGATCATGAGATACCTTTGAACTTCAGAAGGCTAGTTAAACACATAATATGGAGTTCAGTTATTCAAATCGCTCACACCTGATATTTTCCATTTTTGAAGTTTGTTTTTTCCGATGTGGTCTGTCTCTAGGAATCTTTTATTTCCAACCAGCGATGTGACATATCATTAAAGCTGGCTGTAGTGAAATGTGAAATGAATAAGCTATATGGTCGGCTTGTGTTATTGTTTGTTTTAAAAGATGCTGCCATCCTGCCCCTAAGGAGGAGCCATGGTGACCATGGAATTCTGGGCCTGTGTATCCCAAGCTTGTTAGAACCATTTCAGATAGTAACCTCTTCTAGAATCCATGTAGTAGGAGTCTTAACTTAAAGACAATTATTGAAGACCAACCACAGAGCAACCATAAGCGAGGAAAATAAATAAACTCTCATCAAGGGAAGGACATTGGATTTAGCTGGTCGCTATGTTTCAAACCTGTTTTTGACAACAGTGATTATGTTTTTAAAAATAAAAAGCACACTGAAACATTCATGTAAAAACTCTCCTAAAGAGGTTAGATTTTGCTTCCTGAAATTAGGGGTGTATTTCCCTATAATCTGTCACAGCCAGAGAAAGATGGAGACCATTTTGGCCAGGTTAGTACGGAAACACAACACATTAGGATCAAATTTTGTCTCATCCTGTTTGGACAAAATAAATGAGTAGTTTGGGCCTTTATATTTAAAAATCTAAAAGTATTTGTACTGGTTCAGTAGAAAATGATGATTTAGCAGACCAGTGATGTTTATCTGATTGGGTTGAAAAAACATTTTACGGGCTAGAAAAGGTTTCTAAAGAAAGTTTATATTGAATGATACATTAAAGATATATGTTAACAACAAATATTGATCAATTATCATTATTTCTTCCACTTTTTGGGATATTTTCTTTAATGAATCCAATGTTTAAAAGTACTAAACTGGTAAATTCTTTGCTTTCTGGTCTGATCATGAGAGAACTTTAAACTTAAGAAGGCTGTTTAAACACATAATATGGAGTTAAGGTATTTAAATTGCTCACACCTGATATTTTCCATTTTGTAAGTTTGTTGTTTCAATTCGGTCAGTCTCTGGGAGTCTTATTTCCTACAAGCGATGTGACATACTGTATCCTCAAAACCGGCTGTAGTGAAATGTGAATGGATAAAGCTATATGGTCCACTTGTGTTATTGTTTGTTTTAAAAGATGCTGCCATCCTGCCCCTAAGGAGGAGCCATGGTGACCATGGAATTCTGGGCCTGTGTTCCCCAAGCTTCTTAGAACCATTTCAGATAGTAACTTTTCCAAAAATCAATTAAAAATAGGAGTCTTAACTTCAAGAATATTATTGAGGAACAACCACAGAGCAACTCTTAGTGAGGAAAATAAATCAACTCTAATTAAGGGAAGGACATGGGATTTAGCTGGTCGCTATGTGTCAAACATGTTTTTGGCAACAGTGATTATGTTTGAAAAAATAAAACAGACACTCAAACATTTGCATAAAAACTCTCCTAAAGAGGTTGGATTTTGCTTCCTGAAATTATTGGTCTATTTCCCTATAATCTGTCACACCCAGAGAAAGATGGAGACCATTTTGGCAAGGTTAGCATGGAAACACAACACGTTAGAATCACATTTGGTCTCATCCTCTTTGGGCAAAATAAATGAGTGATATTGGCTTTTATATTTAAAATATAAAAGTTCAGTAGATTGGTTCAGTAGATGATGATGATTTAACAGACCACTGATGTTTATCTAAGTGGGTGTACAGAAGATTTTTAGGGCAGAAAAAGCTTTCTAAAGCGAGTTTAAATTAAATGATATATTCAAAATATATGATAACAACAAATATTGATCTTTTATCACTATTTCATCCACTTTTTGGGATATTTTCTTTAATTAATCCAATTTTTACAATAATGAAACTGAAAAAAAATCTATCCTTTCTGGTCTGATCATGAGAGAACTTTGAACTTCAGAAGGCTAGTTAAACACATAATATGGAGTAAAGTTATTTAAATCGCTCACACCTGATATTTTCCATTTTGTAAGTTTGCTGCTCCGATTTGGTCAGTCTCTGGGAGTCTTTTATGTCCTACCAGCACTGTGACAAATCCTTAAAACCGGCTAGAGTGAAATTTGAAAGGAATAAGTTATATGGTCGGCTTGTCTTATTGTTTGTTTTAAAAGATGCTGCCATCCTGCCCCTAAGGAGGAGCCATGGTGACCATGGAATTCTGGGCCTGTGTTCCGCAAGATTCTTAGAACCATTTCAAATAGTAACATTTTCCTGAAATCAGTTTGATAGGAGTCTAAATTTAAAGACAATCATTGAGGACCAAGAACAGAGCAACTCTTAGTGAGGAAAAGTAATAAACTCTCATAAAGGGAAGGACATGGGATTTAGGTGGTCGCTATGTGTCAAACATGTTTTTGATAACAGCGATTATGTTTGAAAAAGTGAAACACACACTCAAACATTTGTGTAAAAACCCTCCTAAACAGGTGGGATTTTTTTTCCTGAAATGATTGGTGTATTTCCCTATTATCTGTCACACCCAGAGAAAGATGGAGACCAGTTTGGCCAGGTTATCATGGAAACACAACACATTAGGATCAAACTTGGTCTCATCCTGTTTGGACAAAATAAATGAGTGGTTTTGGCTTTTGTATTTAAAAATCTAAAAGTATATGTACTGGTTCAGTAGATGATGATGATTAGGCAGACCAGTGATATTTATATAAGTTGGTGTACAAATCATTTTTAGGGCAGAAAAAGCTTTCTAAAGCGAGTTTAAATTAAATGATATATTCAAGATATATGATAAAAACAAACATTGATCAATTATCATAATGTCTTCCTCTTTTTGGGATATTTTCTTTAATCAATCCAATGTTTAAAAGTATGAAACTGAGAAAAAATCTCTCCTTTCTAGTCTGATCATGAGAGAACTTTGAACTTCAGAAGGCTAATTAAACACATAATATGGAATAAAGGTATTGAAATCGCTCACACCTGATATTTTCCATTTTGTAAGTTTGTTCTTCCGATTTGGTCAGTCTCTGGGAGTCTTTTATGTCCTACCAGCGATGTGACATATACTTAAAACCGTCTGGAGTGAAATGTGAATGGAAAAAGCTATATGGTCCGCTTGTGTTATGGTTTGTTTTAAAAGATGCTGCCATCCTGCCACTAAGGAGGAGCCATGGTGACCATGGAATTCTGGGCCTGTGTACCCAAGCTTCTTAGAACCATTTAAAATAGTAACTTTTCCTAAAATCAATTTAATAGGAGTTTTAACTTAAAGACAAGCATTGAGGACCAATCACAAATCAACTCTTAGTGAGGAAAATAAATAAACTGTCATCAAGGGAAGGACATGGGATTTAGCAAGTTGCTAGGTGTAAAACATGTTTTTGACAACAGTGATTATGTTTGAAAAAATAAATCACACAGAAACATTTGTGTAAAAACTCTCCTAAAGAGGTTGGATTCTGCTTCCTGAAATTATTAGTGTATTTCCCTATAATCTGTCACACCCAGAGAAAGATGGAGGCCATTTTGGCCTGTTTAGCATGGAAACACCACACGTTAGGATCACATTTGGTCTCATCCTCTTTGGGCAAAATAATTGAGTAGTTTTGGCTTTTATATTTAAAATGTAAAAGTATTTTTACTGGTTCAGTAAAGGATGATGATTTAACAGACCACTGATTTTTATCTGAGTGGGTGTACAGAACATTTTAGGTCAGAAAAAGCTTTCTAAAGCCAGTTTAAATTAAATTATATATAAAAGATAAATGATAACAACAAATATTGATCAATTATCATTATTTCTTCCACTTTTTGGGATATTTTCTTGAATTAATCCAATGTTTGAAAATACTAAACTGAGAAAATCTGTCCTTTCTGGTCTGATCATGAGAGAACTTTGAACTTCAGAAGGCTTGTTAAACACATAATATGGAGTAAAGTTATTTAGATCGCTCACACCTCATATTCTCGATTTTGTAAGTTTGTTGTTCCACTTCCGTCCATCTCTGGGAGTCTTTTATTTCCTGCAAGCAGTGTTACATGTCCTTAAAACCGTCTGGAGTGAAATGTGAATGGAAAAAGCTATACGGTCCGCTTGTGGTATTGTTTGTTTTAAAAGATGCTGCCATCCTGCCACTATGGAGGAACCATGGTGACCATGAAATTCTGGGCCTTTGTTCCCCAAGCTTCTTGGAACCATGTCAGGTAGTAACTTTTCCTAAAATCAATTTAATAGGAGTCTTAACTTAAAGACAATCATTGAGGACCAATAACAGAGCAACTCTTAGCGAGGAAAAGAAATAAACTCTCATCAAGGGAAGGACATGGGATTTAGGTGGTCGCTATGTGTCAAACATATTTTTGACAGCAGTGATTATGTTTCAAAAAGTAAAACACACACTCAAACATTTGTGTAAAAACTCTCCTAAAGAGGTTGGATGTTGCTTCCTGAAATGAGGGTTTATTTCCCTATAATCTGTCACACCCAGAAAAAGATGGAGACCAGTTTGGCCAGGTTAGCATGTAAACACAACACATTAGGATCAAACTTGGTGTCATCCTGTTTGGACAAAATAAATGAGTAGTTTTGGCTTTTATATGACAATGCTCACTGAGGATCTCAATCAGTGAGAGCCCTGATTTTCCTGGTGTGATGGACAGTTACCTTCTCGTGCCGGGCCTGCCCCGTACAGAAGAAAGGTTGGACATGACACCACGAGTCTTACTGGCCAATAACCTCTGACATGAATACGCCAGCCCTTATTTCATGCAAATTCCACTGAAATGTGATAAGAAAATGTGTGTATGTGTGTCCTTGAATGCAACAGACAGTAAGGAAGAATTTGTGAGCAGAGAGATTATACTAGGCCAGTACAAGAGTATCATTATAAAATCAATGAAACAATTAGCAATTTACATGAATTCAGTGATAAAGTAAAACTCCAAAGTGAGCAAATGGAAACTAATTGTATCAGTATATTCAAGACTCATGTTTGCCACAATCAACCCTCTATGTTTTGTTTTGTTTTGTCCATGTAAAGTTTTTTGGTCTGGACTCATGTTTGTTTTGATTCTTTCCCTGAGCAGGTTGTATTTCTGTGGATATCCGGAAGCCAAGGTCTGGCCTCTCGATGCATCCAAGTATCGATTCAGGATCCTCCACGATAGTGTTACTGAACATTATTCATGTTAATCCTGTAAATAAACCACAAACTTAATCTGTGTCCCTGAGTCTCCGAATGTGCGTCAGAAAGCTACCTCAAAACATGACACGGATCAAGCAACTGGATAGTCACAAACCAAAAGACAAAAATATTGTATTTGAAACAGTATGACAAGATCAATAACAGTATCAATGCATATAGAGATTTACAGTATTCAAAAAGTGATATTATTTGAACTATATAAACAAATGATACAAGTTTAATGATATATTTTCAAAAGCAATGCAGTGAAATATACATCTTGATATACCTGCACAGTGAGAGCGAGATCATATTTCACTTGTCAGACCTGTCTAGCAGGAAGTAAGCTCGTTCTCTGTCTCTGTCAGAGAAAGAAGACAAACACAGAGAGAAAGAAAAAGCATCGACTTATTGAACGAATTCCAAACGTACTCCTGAAGAAGGAAGCAGTACACCGCTGGGGACACTCTGAATGCTGCTAGAGGTAATGTACACTAATAGAGGACCTGTTATTAAGAGTTTAAGTGTCTGCAATCAAAAGTGTAACCAGCTCTTGTCTGTGATTACAGTAACCGGTAAAACAATATGGCTTCAAAATTCGAAGAAGACGTCTCATGTCCTCTCTGTCAAGATATTTGTAAAGATCCATTCATCCTGTCATGCAAGCACATTTTTTGTTCTGGCTGTTTACGGAGCAACTGGGCAGATAAAGATATCCCTGAGTGTCCAGTCTGTAAGAGACGATCCTCAAAAGAGGTGGGTCCTGTCTTTGCAATGGAGAGTGAAAGTGAGAGAGTTTTACCAGGGAGTGGCTCGGAAGATGAATCTGCGCCTGTCTGCAGCATACACTCACAGAAAGTCGCCTTCTTCTGTGTGGATGATCAGCAGCTGCTCTGCAGCCACTGCAGGGATTCAGAAACACACAGCAACCACACAGTACAACCCACAGGGGAAGCTGCTGAGGAGAGAAAGAAGTCACTTCGGGACTCTTTAAAGCCAGTGAAAAAGAAACTGAAGTTCATTCGTCAAGTGATAGGAAACTGCGATCAAACAGCAGAGCACATTAAAGTTCAGGCTGAAAACACAGAGAGGAGCATAAAGGAGAAGTTTCAGAGACTTCGTCAGTTTCTAGAGGAGGAAGAGGAGGCCAGGCTGACTGCACTGAGGGAGGAGGAGGAGCAGAAGAGTCGTTTGATGAAGGAGAAGATCGGGGCTCTGAACAGAGAGACAATCGCTCTATCAGACATTGTGAGAGCCACAGAGAAGGAGCTAAGAGCTAAAGATGTTTCATTCCTGCAGAGCTGTGAGGCTGCAGTGGAAAGAGTCCAGCAGCAGCCTCTGCCTGAAGACCCTCAGCTCCAACCGGGAACTCTGATAGATGTGACCCAACATCTGGGCAACCTGAGCTTTAACGTGTGGAGCAAGATGAAGGAGGTGGTGTCGTACAGTCCCGTGATTCTGGATCCAAACACAGCCCATCCACAACTCATCGTGTCCGAGGATCTGAACAGTGTGAGGGAGATAGAGGAAAAGCAGGAGCTGCCAGAGAATCCAGAGAGGATCGACCACTTTGTATCTGTGATAGGGTCCAAGGCTTTTGACTCGGGGCGCCACAGCTGGGAGGTGGAGGTAGGAGACAACAATGCTTTTGTTCTGGGAGTGCTCAGGGAGTCAAACGAGAGGAAAGGGGTCATATGGCCTGGACTGTGGAGGCTGATGTTCTGTAATGGGGAATATAACATACTTTCACCATCAGACACCGGAACACATTTGTCTGTGATGAAGAACCCCAAGAGGATCAGACTGGTCCTGGACTGCGACGGAGGAGAGCTGTCGTATTACGATGCCCAAACAAACGCACACATATACACCTTCAAAGAGACGTTTAAAGACAGGATGTTTCCATACATCAGCACCTGGAGCAACGTCCCGATAAAGGTAGCAGCACAGGCTGTTTCTGTAGCAGTGGAAACTCCCCCTTAGAGATTCTACCGCCCCGGTTCTGTCGCACTTTAAAAAGCAGTTATCGTCTCATGCAAAACAGAAAAAACAATAATGGTCAAGTGCTGTTGAAGCTTTAAGGCACTTAAAACTTCAAGCAAGTTTTTTTTGTCATTTTAGAACTTCCAAGAGGGCCCATTTTTTAAGAACATTATTGTTACCTCATCCCTCCAATTGGATGGAGTCTATTAGCCAAAATTAAATAAGAGATGGGGCATATATGACGAGGAGGCATCCTGACTGGCATTATGTGTCACTGTAATTAGCCTGAATTCTTTAATGCTTATACACAGATTTCTGACAGATTGTACTTTCAAGACATTTATTTGAAAAAAAACGGGGATATGGGTTATTGCCTTTTTAAATAGTATTTTATAGTAAAATTGTGCAGAGAATCATTGTTTTCTCCATTTTGTCTTTGGGTTTGTTTTTTTTGGGTGATACTCACAGTGTACTTTTTATGTTTCTATTTGGTGTTCGGAAATGCAAGATTTTGTTGTTGATAAGAAGAACGGATGTTTAATGGGCATGTTTTCATAAATATATTACATATTTGTGGTTTTAGTGTGTTAAAAATAAAATTAGTCATATAACTAAACGACAAAGTAACAAAACTAATTAAAATGAATTGCCTTCATACCGCGACTCAATCATGCTTTCTTAATAAATATGTATCTTTTATGTTTTTACATATTTATATCTTTACGGGGCAAAGTAAAGTGAAAGCTATAGGAAGCAATTTTTTTGTTGTTCATGGGCAAATGTCCAAAAGTCAAGCTAAAAATATGTAAACTTATTTCTGTTAACCCAAACAAATATTTGATCTATATTTTGACATGTATATAACTATTTTTTTTAAAGTTTCACGTTGGAAGATTTTTCGTCATGCTTACAATCAAGTCTGAGAATGAGATGTTTTGTAGGTTCTTAAATGTACCTGCTGCTTGATCTGATTAGACAATAAAATACGTTCTTAAGTCAGTCTTTGTTGGTATGATATTTCCTCCAAATTTTGCCCAACAACTTGATTTAATGTCTTGGAATTCTGTCAAAGTGTAATTGACAAACAGTTAAAAAAAGTCAGAGGTATTGTGAATCTTTTTTTTTCTTTCCTTGTACTGTTTGTCAAATTTCAGATGTATGCCTGACATTTAACTCACATATTTGTTATTTCTACTCCACAAAAATTACTACGGAGCCCACCAGGTAACATTGTAATTTTTTTCAATTGTTTTTGCTTTCCCATCATCATGCAAGAAATTCAGCCTACTAGTTAGTTTACGTCAGCGTGGACACAGTGGAGTACCCTCTCCCTTTTTGAGACATTTATAAGGTTTTATTTTGAGATCGGTCTGCAATATAAAGATATTCAAGCTGTGCATCTGAAAGCGAAACTATTGCGAGGGCACGCACGAGTACTTTTTACCTGGGTGGCTCCGTAAATAGCAAACACATTTTTTCAGTTTTAATTTATCGTTTTAATTCTATCTTCTGAATGTTTCGGGGAATTTTGTCATATATTTGTTTGTTTTCTGTCACGTTTTAATCAGACTTTGCACTACGTGTCACGTGTCACTACAGCCGTCATAACCGGAAGTGCAAGTGGGAAGGTGAATGCAGCTACAACATGGCTCGTAGTTTGCTCTGCAGAGGTTTCGATGGGTTGCAACTCTGTAGGAAAACCTTGCTGGTCTCCGCTACTCGGTTCTGCTCTCAGTCAGAACCGGAGCCGCTGATCGTGAGACAACAAAACAATGGAATCAGGTGCTCACTTTTAAAGTGTCCGTCGCCTCACAGCTGTCAGTCACAGAGAGCCCTCGTAAGGAAAGAGTATATTTATGAAAAAAATAAAGATTATATCAACGATGACTTGTTCTAGGCGTAAGCACCGTGGTACATTTTTTAAACACGTTCTTAAGACAAATTCGGCATTGATGTTTTCGGTTTGAAAGTCACACAATTATATTTAAACGTGAACGTGTGACTCTATTTCACAGTTTTATATTTGTCAGCTGGAGAACCAGAAGCTAAAAGCTTAGAGGACAAAATAAAATAGAAACATCTTCTTTTATTAATATACAGTATCTTTACGATGGGAATGTTTTCTTGTACTATTCAGATTCTGTTCTTTAATTGAAAATAATTTAATCAAATATGTATTTAGTTGCCAATGAAGAAAAACTATTGGCTAAGATTATTAGAAAGTCTAGGTATTTGAAAGGTAAATACAATGCAATAAGAGCAGGGCTAATATATTTGTGTAGTACTGTTACCTCTAATTTTACCTATGACTTGCTAGATCAGGAATTAATTTGGCCCTACGATGGACTCTCGCCCATTGACCACTGGGTTTGGCTCCCCATTAGGGAGTAAGCGGTTACGAAAATGGATGGATGGAGGAATTAATTTGCCCACAGTGCCAGCAGATGGTTGACGGACTAACATATTCCGACTAGTATTTACTTTTAACATTAAACTAAAAGTTAGATAAAATGCTGTGTCATCCCTCACGCATGTAAAAGGCCAACTTTAAAAAAAAAAGGCGTTTAACTGATATTTGGCACGAGGATGAAATAAACTATTCAGAGTAAAAAGCAAAAGTTGTACAAACAGTTGCTGTTTCTCATAAGAACCCAGCATAATCTTAGTGCACTTTAGGAGAGATGGCAAGAGAAATTGTAAAAAAAAAAAAATGTTAAAATATGTTTTTAAAAAATGGTGGCAACCATTTTTTTTTTACTAATTCTTGTTATCCAGGAGACTAATATTGAACAATCCCAAGAAGAGGAATGCTCTGTCGTTGTCCATGCTGGAGTCTCTCAGAGAGAACATCCTGACTGATGTGGACAGCGACGATCTCAGAGTTATCGTCATATCAGGTCAGATTTAGTAATGTTTGTCTTATGGATGGAGATAGACGTTCGTCCAAACTTTTGACGTGTGTGTGTGTGTTTGTGTTATAGCCAAAGGTCCAGTGTTTTCATCCGGACACGACCTGAAGGAGCTGACGTCAGTTCAGGGCAGAGACCATCACACAAAGGTTTTTCACACCTGTTCAGAGGTAACATGCTTTCCATTTGAGTTTAGTTTCAACGTAATGCGTATGTGTGAGCTTCTTTTAAAGATTCCTACTCAGGAAAGAATCAGTTTAAATGGCAGTAAATTTGAGAGAGTAAAAACAGAAAAATGAACACACAGGAGACAGTTGTTTACATTTTAGAAGCAAATATACGGTAAGCAAACTTATTTGTGTGGTATTTTTCCAAACAATTCTACAAAGTGCTTATCGTAACAAAATTAAGAAAAAAAAAAAAAAGTGAAATCTTTAGATATCCAGCAATCGTAAATGTTTTAATGTTTTTTTCTTTTTAGAGTTTTGGGGCTTTGACTGCAAATATTCTGTGAAATCTGGACCCAAACTATGTTTCTGGAACAAATAAAAGTTCTTTGCCTGGGGATATTGAACTATATACAGCCTAATGGTCTTCTTAAAGGTTTAAAAAAAAATGTGACAAAAACCCCACAAAGAGCTGAAAAAGTCAATAATAGTAGTAATAGGATCATAAATCGTAAAGCACGGTGGGTGCCTGCAAAGGCAGAAATAATGGGGTTCTGGATGTGGTAAATGGTATTTTTTTGAGTGAGACAAGACAACAGACTGTTCAAACATACAGAAACTATCAGGATCAAAGTGCTTAGGATCCATAATGTATTTTAAAAGATTCTTCACTGATAAAACACCCACCCTGGTCTTCAAAGCACAACTGGAAATATCAGTTTTCATACTTTAAAACATTTTTATTTACCATAACCATACCATTCTTATATATTTAGATTTTCTTTCCATGTGGAATGCAGAAATCTTGTACCCTTCGAATTTGTTGACTCCTTGCTTCAGGTGATGACTCTGATCCAAGACATACCAGTTCCAGTGATCGCCATGGTAAACGGCGTCGCCACGGCGGCCGGTTGCCAGCTGGTGGCCAGCTGTGACATTGCCGTGGCGACAGAGAAGTCCACCTTCGCCACTCCTGGTGTCAACGTGGGACTGTTCTGCTCCACGCCGGCGGTGGCCATTGGCAGGGCGGTGCCAAGGAAGGTGCTCAAGAACATTTAAAGAAAAAAACTAAACGAATTTGAGCCCTACAACCCCGTCAAATTAAATCTTGCCCATTTCCTTATTGTGCAGGCTGATAATTCTCTAATATTTATGTTAGTACTAGTACTATACTAGTATAATCAAAAGACAAAGTGTTTTTTTTTTCAATAACATGCAAGAAAGTTAACATTATATATTTACATTTTTGCATTTAGTAGAATTACAACACATGTTTGTACCTTACCTTGAGTGCAATATGCTAGACATTTAATATCAAAGACCCAAAATGGATGCCTGGAGGACATTTAACGTATTCTGCTGTTTTTTAGTTTTAGCTACCCCTGTAGTTAGACAGTATCTGTCAACACTGATTGAAAAAAATGTTTTCTGTTAACAGAACGGTATACATCAGATGCATCAGGATTTGAGCACGAAACAAACATGGGCAAACTTTTAGATGCATTTACAGTAATTGGGAAAAAAAAAAAAGACTTTTACAACCCCGTTAAATGTAGTCAATTCAGATGTCATGAAATGTGTCTCTTTCTCTGTCTTCTTGTGGGTTTCCTTTTTTCTTCCAGTAATCCTGATTTTGTTGTGACTCGTCATCTGTGACTTATTCATTGTAGCTCTCTTTTTTTTTTTGTCCATTGGTTAGTTATGAATAAAATGTCATGACAATATTTCATTATAACTACAAATATGGGACAGATGTTGCCTAAAAAACTAAGCCTAACAACTCCAGTATCAAATATAATCTATGGTACCATGTCTTTCCTCTTTTAAACGAGGTCGCCATGGAGATGCTGTTAACAGGAAATCCCATCTCAGCCCACAACGCCCTGCTCCACGGTCTGATCAGTAAGGTGGTGGCAGAGGAGCGCTTGGAGGAGGAGACGTTAGCCATAGCCCGGCGGGTGTGTCAGGCCAGTCGGCCCGTTGTCGCTCTGGGGAAGGCTACTTTCCAGCGGTGAGACTTTACACAGTCCATAACACTTTTCTACCCTTTGATTGTACATTTTAGGGGTTTTCCGGCTGTTCTGGTTCAAGCAAATAACCCCACCACACCACAGAGAAACAAACAAAAGCCCTTCTTTGTGTTCATTGTGTCGTTGACAGTGTTTTTTCTTTTTTTCTTCCTGTTTGTTCCCCCGTTTTGTTTTGTTCCGTTCTGAAGACAAATGGCTCAAGGCAGAGATAAGGCCTACGCCACCGCCTCCGCGGTGATGGTGGACAACCTGGCCCTGAGGGACGGGCAGGAGGGGATCCGGGCGTTCATAGAGAAACGCAAGCCGGTGTGGAGCCACAGGGCAGAAAAGGCGCACTAACTGACCACGGTGACTAATCGTCCACTCACTGTTGTGGAGTAATTTGCACCAATTATGGTGAGGAGACAAACTGTACTGCTAGTGAACTGTAATTTGTACTTTTTTGGGGGGGAGGATGCCAAAGAGTGAGAGAGATACCATCCATTTCACTGGACCAAGCAAAGCTGATGAGTTGTGTGCCTCAGAACCTGCTGTTGGGTGATAAAGCAAAAAAAAAGCTCAAGGCGATGCACAATATTCCTGAGATTTTACTTTTAAGCTGGATCTGACCTTTTGTTGAGAGAACTGAAAATGTTAGCCGAGGCTAAAGAGAATTTCCCCCCATACAGCTTCCATGTTGTACGTTTCCTTACGTAATTTAGTTTAAATTAAACAGCGAGAACATGCAGCAGTTCACAGCGTGCTGTTATGGAAGTCAAGAAATATACAAGGTTTCCACGTCCGATTTCACAAAACCTGATAAAATGAAGTTGTCTTAGAACTGAGCCTCTATTTCATACATGTGGAGGGAAACAATCTCTGCACTTAGTAAGATTTGTTACAAAAGCATTTAAAATGGACTAGACAGCCAGAAGGTCCTCTGCAAACTTTTTATAGAATTTTAACGTGAGTTGAAATGAGGCCTTAAATACTCAGACATTACATCAGATTATAGTTTTGTCCCATGAAGCACAATTATGTCGTGGGTTGATGGGAAATTATATATATATGTATATGAAATGCCAAGAATGTGTATTAATCTTTAGAGAACTGTCAGGCATCAAAGCTTTTGAAAATTCTACGCTTGAAACATTTTTCTATCATGTATTTCTCCACATCTTGCAATAAACTGTAAAATGAACTGACGTCTTTTACTTTTTGTGTGACATACAATCTATATAAAAATGTTTAACAAGCCAGCTACCATTTTAGAAAAGAAAGTTAGAATTTCATGAAATAATATGACAATAAAAGACTTTGAAAACTAATTAGCTAAACTTTTCAATAATAAGCCCATCAAAAGGTAAACAAGGACAGGCCCTGGTGGGTTTAGAAAGTCATTTAGGAATATTTATATATAAATTACTAGGTTTTAATGATTTGATCATCATATAAAAGCAACAAATGCTCAGTATGACTAGTGTCTAATCACTCTTTGCCATTTCAACTTCCAACGTTTAGGGTTAAATTTAAATTGTTAAACAGATTAGATTTTAGCTGACAAATATGTACCAGCAAAAAGTACAAACTGCTACTACCAGGCTCTGATTAAACTACCAGTATACCGGTACAACCAAATTCCAGTTAGTCTGAACTTTTAGCCCATATTTAAGTTTCAAACTGTGTACTGAAATAACACGAATGCTTTTAAGATTTTGAGGGGTTCAAAGCAACGTCTCATAGGCCCTCTTTAATGGATTTGTCATCCTATTTACACAAAGATTCCCACTCAACTAGCGTCCTTTGGGCATCAGAGACAGGATTCTATCAGACCCCCCCCCCATGGAGTGTGCTCCTCTGGTAGAGCTCTCAACACGCTGTCCTCGATTAATTTCGGGTAGACGGCATGGTAGCGGGGAGTCTGGTGATGATGTCAAGCAAACGGAAAGCTCTTTTCCATTTAAATAATTTGCTAAGCACGGCAGATCAAAACATCTATTTTTCACTTGGTGTGTAATGTAGTGTATTCAGACATTACATAATGTATTCAGACTAAAATTGGTAAATTGATTTGACAAAAGTCAATTGCTTATTTAGCAAATGGGAAGAATGCATCTGTCCATGATGCCTGCCGACCAAATGAAGTGGATCTTAAAACAAACTCCATTGCTTTAATCAGAAATAGCTTTAATCAGATCTCCGGGAGTCATCTTATTGGAGCAAATGTACTATTTTATCTCATTTTGCGCTTTAAAGGTTCTGTAAATGTCTACCCTTTCATTCTGACCAATGTTTAGGTTATCATTGGAATTGTGTTTTTCCTTTTAATAGTGATTGTTATGATTTGTATCTTTATAATCTTAAGAATGGATTTGTAGAAGGAAAATTACATATACAGTCGTTAAAATAAGTTTCAAGTCACACGTGATCTCCTATTGTGTTGTTATCATTGTTAAGTCAGAACTAAGTGGCCTATAGGGCAAATTTTGGGTCAAACTCTCAGGTCATCATAACTTACAATATCTTAACTATGGCCTTTGAGACATCTTTTCTTGGAGGGCCAGGGCCAGGGCCCACCCCCCCACCACCACCACCACCCCCACCACCAATCAGTAGGTAGCCGAGTCAGAAATGTTACTTTTCACAACAAAAAAAAAACAAGTATACATTTAAATGTTGATATGCAGCTTTCTGCAGTTTTCTTTTTTAATAAATTGACTATTTCTGACTTCCTCAGACGGATGAAGACTCTTGCTTGAGATGAAACGTTCGACAACAGTCTCTTAAACCACGATCGTATGGGAACAAGAGGCATAGACCTAGAATAAGCAAAATCTTTGGTACGTCACCCACCTTGACTTGCATTTGAACTTAAGTGACATCCCATGTTAAGCTTTGGGTTCAACAAAATGTTGGTCTACCTTAGTTTAAGCGGTTGGTTGACTACTTTGGACTGCGTTTATGGGAATTTTTTATCATTCCTATCAAAACACATTTCTGAGGCCATACACTGCTGATGCTCTCTGCCTCCACTCTAAGTCCTCCCAAAGTTGTTCTATCGGGTTGAAGTCAGGACTCTGTGCAGGCCAAGTCAAGGTTATCAACATCAAACTCCCTCATCCTCGTTTTTACGGACCTTGCTTTGCGGCCCTGGTCGTGTTTGGAGAGTACGGGGCCAGTCTCCAAACTGCTCGGAAAACCATTCCATGAAGCTTCCCACATCGTTTTTGAGCTAACCTGAGAGGCAACATGAGGTTTGGACCTCTGCACAGCATCAGCTTCCCCCACTCCTTCATTTTCCATCTCTCCTAATCGCTTCCACTTCGTTATAATGTCACTGACAGTCGACTGTAGATTGTTTAGCTGTAAGGAAATTTCTCAACTAGACTTGTTGCACAGGTGGCATCCTTTCCAAGCGACACAGTGGTATCAACAACCTATTAGCAAGCTATTCCTCTGTTATTTTACTAGTACCTACCTCATGGATGCATTGTGAATTTCCATTACTACCTTAGTTAAACTTTTAGCTCCTACTTGGCTGAGGTTCCAAGCCAGCTGAGTAGGGACATCAGATTCAATGCAATTCATTGAATGCTGATTTTTTAATCATTTTTTTAAAACAATGTTGATTGTAATAGAAGCCAGCGTCTAAAGAAAAACAGCCTGAATCCTTGAAAGCAAAATAAAAAAAGTGTTCAGAAATAATGTAGGTGTTGTGTGTGGAGAACAGAAACTTTTCATTTGATTTTGAGCAGCTATAATTTTGGGGTATTGCATTAGTCCCAGTCGAGTCCAGTAAATGTCCAAGTTCCAGAAAACGATTTACTCTTATCGTTCTTAGAATTTGTGACAGAGCTCAATATAGAAGACGGATTCAGACATTTGTTTTCAGCCCACCTCATTTTATTAAGCAAAGTGTCAGAATGGTTTGGAGTTCAGTTGTTTGACAAAAAAAAAACAAGATTAACTGAGGAATGTAATGATCAGTACATCTCTGCTGTTCGAAACAAAGTAATGCGACGGCTAAGAAGTTGAAAATTTGGACTCGCACATGTATGACATGTGGTTTAAGTGTCCGTGTGAGATTATGCACAACAGTAGACGTTAAAGCAGCTGAACAGTAGTTGACATGTCAGTGTGGATAATAAAACGTAAATAAAACTGAAGCTAATTCACATTCGGCATGGGTTGCTCAATATGTGGGGACTACGTAACGGCAAATTAAAAACACTTTTCCTGTGGTTACATAGCAACTCAGAGTTAAAACCATCAAATCAAGTAATATATATTTTTTTATAGCCCTCACCAATTGGCTCTCTATCTAGAGTAGAGATTTAATTAAAACTACACTGGCCTTAAAATACAAGTTCATAACAAGGTACTGTAACTTTGATAGTAAAATGCATTGAACAGTAGTTAATTAGGTTTCACAATTGCTACTGAAAGTGAATTGTAACAGATTGTTTGTAAGAATTTAGCTAAAAATTACGAAAGACCTGCTGTTTATATCCTTCAAAATTGAAATAGAACTCAAACAAAAGCAACCCATTCAACACTGCTCTCTAACACACCGTTCTGAATGACATTCACAAGCATATAGTTAATTTGTCTCTAATGTAAATACCTGGAAGTAATATATAAAAAAATAAAGATGGAAAATAAATCAGTTTTGCTTTCTCAGGGGAACAACCCCCCTGTTATGGATAACTCGGATATTCACAAAAAAATCCACTGTACATATCAGAGTCTAAAAGATGTCGACATTATGCAGATACTTATTTATATTTTACAAATATATACACATGTATACATATATATATATTTATATGTATATATGTATATATATATATATATAGTTACCTCTGTTTGATTCACATCCAAAAATAAAATAAAATTTTCAGTCAGTCATATTTTTCTCTTTTTAAAGCAATCGGTAAAAACATCAGAGGCTGGTGTTCTCTGCAATGTTACAAAGCAGTGTGACAGTCAATCAGGTCCGAACTTCACACGTAAAGGAGCAACAGAGCAGAAACCAAACCAGGTTTTTCTCATGAAACTAGGACTGCTGGTCATCTTTACCACAGTGTTGGTGACTATTCCTCAGTTCTTTGTAAATTCCTTCTCTCTCTCTGTGTCTCTCTTTTTTTTTCTTTTAACAGTGTCTCATAATTTCCGTATCCTGGCGTCACAGGAGCATGGACTCCTGCATGGCGAACGCCTCCTGTGCGTGCCTGTAGTGTGGTCCTCCGAACAGCGGGGGGAGCTGCTGCTGCACCACCACCGGCTGTTGCTCCGGAAACTGTGTCCTGTAGTGGGGCGGCGGAGGGGGGTCTGGGAAAGTGAACTCCTCGACGGGGGACATCTGGGCCCGCTGGAAGCTGGGCGAGCGGGGCATGCCGCCGGGGGACGGGGGCTCGCCGCCTGCCTCCCACCGGAGGCCGTCGGGGACCCGCCGGGGCCTGTCCGTCTGGCCGGTGGACGTGAGCTGCTGCCGGTAGATGGGGGTGGACCTGCCGTGGGTTTCTAGCTGGTCGGGGGGGGACCTGTTGTTGTGGACGCTTCGCACCTGGCCGGAAGGAGGCTGCCTGCGGTAGGTGGCGAAAGAGTTGTTCATGAGGGCCTTCTCGGGGGAGCGGCTGTTATGGTGCCGCTGGGCGGTGGCGTACGCCGGCTCCCCGTAGGCCACGCCGGAGGACGAGGTGAACCGGGGCGGCGGGGAAAAGAGTCCGTCCGGCCTGCTCTGGTCCAGGCTCACGCTGTAGGCCGGGTGGAGGATGGGGACCTCGGTCGTGGTTCTCCCCGGGGAGCTGTGCTGGACGGGAGCGCGGTACCGGCTCTGACCGGTGGCGTAAGCGGCCGGAATTGCAGCCAGACTGTTTGGGGAGTACTGAAGACCCCCGACCGGTCCCGGAACGTGGCCGGGGCTGCCCTGATAAGGCGCCGGCGCGCCGAACTGCATCCTGGACGGCGGTTTCTCCAGCTCCAGGATCTCGAAGTCCTGCTCCGGCAGCCCCGGGACGTTGTCGTACTGGGAGGCGTTGGAGCCGCGGTCGGCGCCGGGGGCAAGGCCCCGGGACCGCGGCCGGCGGGCGGCCTGGAGGCCCTCGTCTGGGCTGGAGGGGGCCGGCGAGGCGCCGCGGCTCCGGTGGCTCTCCCGCGCCGCCGCCGCCTTGACCGCCTCCAGCTTGGTCTCGGAGGGCTTGAACCAGCGCGGCGCGATGTCCCGGTGGGAGCCGGGGGCCGCGTTGGCGTTGTGGTTGGCCGCGGCGTGGCCGTGCGCCTTCCTCCGGTCCGCTGTGCCCAATGGCGGCGGGGTGGCTCCCCTCTCGGGGGTAGCCGACGATGACCGCTTCTGCGGCTCGACCAGGAGCTCGCTGGACCCCCGGACGTGGGAGGCCGCCTTGGCCGCCTTGTTGTGGCGGATCGGCCGGTCAAGCGAATCCCGGCGCGACCAGCTGGGCGGCCGGCTCTCCCTTTGGGGGTCCGGCGCGGGGCTCGGGTCTCTGGGGGGGTCCGCTGGCTCCGTGTGGCTTTGACCGTTGCCCACGTGGTTGGCCACGGCCGCTCCCGGCTCGGGAGGAAGCTGCCCTAAAAGCTTCTTGGGAAACTCGTCCTCTTTACCTGCCGGACGAGAACGTAGGAGGCAAAGTTAGAACGCTGGGATAAAAAAAACCTGAGCGATGTCTGTGCGACGCTGATTGGCGTCAGATGAGTAAGTCACAACAGGGACGTGAATTCATGCAACAACACTGCCATAGAGAGGTAACATTAAAGGAGAATTACATTCAGGACAGCACGCAATCACCAACGGAAAAACAATAAAACAAAACAAAACAAAAAATACACTGTAGAAATAGTGTTTGGAGTAAATCTCCATCCAGTGATCTCTGAAATGAACAGTTCATTTTTTGCAGTGCTCTGGGTTTGTGAGTTAGAGAAAAACAAAATGAGCTTCAGCTTTATGAACCTTCTTAAATCTACTGATACCTCTA